GTGTGTGTACTGTGTGTGTGTACTGTTAGACTGTACTGTGTGTGTGCTGTGAGACTGTGTGTGTGTACTGTGTGTGCTGTGTGGTGTGAGACTGTGTGTGTACTGTGTATGTGGTGTGAGACTGTGTGTGTGTACTGTGTGTGCTGTGAGACTGTGTGTGTACTGTGATACTGTGTGTGTACTGTGGCCTGGCACAAGCGTCGTGGTGACGTCACCGCCACTTAGTGGCGAATGGCGGTTGTTGTACTGTGTATCTGCACTGTGGTTGTGTGTGTACTGTGTGTGTATCTGCACTCTGGTTGTGTGTGTACTGTGTGTATCTGCACTGTGGTTGTGTGTATACTGTGTGTATCTGCACTGTGGTTGTGTGTGTACTGTGTGTATCTGCACTGTGGTTGTGTGTGTACTGTGTGTATCTGCACTGTGGTTGTGTGTGTACTGTGTGTGTATCTGCACTCTGGTTGTGTGTGTACTGTGTGTATCTGCACTCTGGTTGTGTGTGTACTGTGTGTATCTGCACTGTGGTTGTGTGTGTACTGTGTGTATCTGCACTGTGGTTGTGTGTGTACTGTGTGTATCTGCACTGTGGTTGTGTGTGTACTGTATGCGTATTGTGTGTGTGTCTGCACTGTGGTTGTGTGTGTACTGTGTGTGTGTACTGTGTGTGTCTGCACTGTGGTTGTGTGTGTACTGTATGTGTGTGTCTGCACTGTGGTTGTGTGTGTATTGTGTGTGTGTCTGCACTGTGGTTGTGTGTGTACTGTGTGTGTGTACTGTGTGTGTGTGTATTGTGTGTGTGTGTCTGCACTGTGGTTGTGTGTGTACTGTGTGTGTACTGTGTGTGTGTCTGCACTGATCTGCACTGTGGTTGTGTGTGTACTGTATGTGTGTGTCTGCACTGTGGTTGTGTATGTACTGTGTGTGTGTGTACTGTGTGTCTACTGTGTGTGTGTTTGCACTGTGGTTGTGTGTGTACTGTATGTGTGTGTCTGCACTGTGGTTGTGTGTACTGTATGTATGTGTCTGCACTGTGGTTGTGTACTGTATGTGTGTGTACTGTGTGTGTGTCTGCACTGTGGTTGTGTGTGTACTGTATGTGTGTGTCTGCACTGTGGTTGTGTGTGTACTGTGTGTGTGTACTGTGTGTGTGTCTGCACTGTGGTTGTGTGTGTACTGTATGTGTGTACTGTGTGTGTGTCTGCACTGTGGTTGTGTGTGTACTGTGTGTGTATACTGTGTGTGTGTCTGCACTGTGGTTGTGTGTGTACTGTATGTGTGTCTGCACTGTGGTTGTGTGTGTACTGTGTGTGTGTACTGTGTGTGTGTACTGTGTGTGTGTCTGCACTGTGGTTGTGTGTGTACTGTATGTGTGTACTGTGTGTGTGTCTGCACTGTGGTTGTGTGTACTGTGTGTGTGTATACTGTGTGTGTGTCTGCACTGTGGTTGTGTGTGTACTGTATGTGTGTTTGCACTGTGGTTGTGTGTGTACTGTGTGGGGAGCGGTGGTGCAGCGGTTAGCGCTACGCTGCGCTACGACCCAAGTTCGATTCCCGCTCGCGGCCACCATCACCACCGGTGACGATTATCTCCTGAACCGGTCCTGGGCCGCCTCCTCCCCTAGGTCGACTCGGCCTCAAATGAGTTCCTGGTGCGGTGGTGGAGTAAACATCGCCACTGGGGAGACAAAGGCGGCCGGGCGTGGTTGCTGGCCACTCACCCCCTCGTGTGCCACGGTGCCGCCCTACATAGGTACTGCTGCTGCTGCTACTGGCCAACAGCCACTTAGGGGCCGTCCATAAATGACGTCACGCACCTGGGGGGGGGGGTCAGACATTTGTGACGATGTGTGACGAGGGGAGGGGGGGGTTTGAGAAATGTGACGTCACATCAAAATGCGCAACTTTAAATAAATATAGACAACACGTACTACTTAATTAAATAGACTTTTTAATAAATGTTTTCTCCTACAACATCAGAGTGCGGCGCCACATTAAATACGCACTACAATAACAATAGTTTAAAGCGATTTGCAGCATGTTATTTTTTTTGGTGGGGGGGGGGGGGCATAGCTTTGTGACGTCATATTTGAGGGGGGGGGGTCTGAATTTTTGTGACGCCGTGTGACGAGGGGGGGAGGGGGGTCAAAAATCGTCCAAAATCGCGTGATGTCATTTATGGACAGCCCCTTACCCCAACAGGTGGGCCTCTGTCGGTCTCTATGGGTGCCTCTGTGTGTCTCTGTGGATCTCTATGGGCCTGGATGTCTGTGGGTCTCTGTGAACGTACGTTTGTAGAACTTCTTTCGCACCGTATGGAGCCAACCGTACTAATCTGCGGGTCTCTGAAGGTCTCTATGGATGTCTATGTGGGTCTTTATGGGTGTCTGGGTCTCTACCGGTCCGGGTGTCTGTGGGTCTCTGTACGTCCAAATGTGTAACTTCTTTCGTACCGTACGTAGCCAACGGTGCTGTTCGGAAGGCGCTGACGCTTTGGTACGTCACTAGGCCACACCGTGGTCGTGCCAGTTGTGCCCCTCGATTTATAAAAGGGAACGCGTTCTTCAATAGAGACCCGGGCGCTCATCGGAACGGCTTTCCCATTTATTGAATATCGTGGGGACTCGTCTACTTCCGAACGAGTTCGGTTCCAGAAGTCTATCCGTAAGTCCCAACTTTACTCCTGTCGATTCCAAACGTGTTGTACAGCGTGTACACTAAGCACGGGGAACGGCTTTAAAAGTTGTGCAATCTCTTGTAGATGTAGATGCCACTGGTTCTTCCCGTTCTGTAGATGTAGATGCCACTGGTTCTTCCCGTTCTGCAGATGTAGATGCCACTGGTTCTTCACGTTCTGCAGATGTAGATGCCACTGGTTCTTCACGTTCTGCAGATGTAGATGCCACTGGTTCTTCACGTTCTGCAGATGTAGATGCCACTGGTTCTTCACATTCTACAGATGTAGATGCCACTGGTTCTTCACGTTCTGCAGATGTAGATGACACTGGTTCTTCACGTTCTGCAGATGTAGATGCCACTGGTTCATCACGTTCTGCAGATGTAGATGCCACTGGTTCTTCACGTGCTGCAGATGTAGATGCCACTGGTTCTTCACGTTCTGCAGATGTAGATGCCACTGGTTCTTCACGTTCTGCAGATGTAGATGCCACTGGTTCTTCACGTTCTGCAGATGTAGATGCCACTGGTTCTTCACGTTCTGCAGATGTAGATGCCACTGGTTCTTCACATTCTGCAGATGTAGATGCCACTGGTTCTTCACGTTCTGCAGATGTAGATGCCACTGGTTCTTCACGTTCTGCAGATGTAGATGCCACTGGTTCTTCACGTTCTGCAGATGTAGATGCCACTGGTTCTTCACGTTCTGCAGATGTAGATGCCACTGGTTCTTCACGTTCTGCAGATGTAGATGCCACTGGTTCTTCACGTTCTGCAGATGTAGATGCCACTATTTCTTCACGTTCTGCAGATGTAGATGCCACTGGTTATTCACGTTCTGCAGATGTAGATGCCACTGGTTCTTCACGTTCTGCAGATGTAGATGCCACTGGTTCATCACGTTCTGCAGATGTAGATGCCACTGGTTCTTCACGTTCTGCAGATGTAGATGCCACTGGTTCTTCACGTTCTGCAGATGTAGATGCCACTGGTTCTTCACGTGCTGCAGATGTAGATGCCACTGGTTCTTCACGATCTGCAGATGTAGATGCCACTGGTTCTTCACGTTCTGCAGATGTAGATGCCACTGGTTCTTCACGTTCTGCAGATGTAGATGCCACTGGTTCTTCACGTTCTGCAGATGTAGATGCCACTGGTTCTTCACGTTCTGCAGATGTAGATGCCACTGGTTCTTCACGTTCTACAGATGTAGATGCCACTGGTTCTTCACGTTCTGCAGATTTAGATGCCACTGGTTCTTCACGTTCTGCAGATGTAGATGCCACTGGTTCTTCACGTTTTACAGATGTAGATGCCACTGGTCCTTCACGTTCTGCAGATGTAGATGCCACTGTTTCTTCACGTTCTGCAGATGTAGATGCCACTGGTTCTTCACGTTCTGGAGATGTAAATGCTACTGCTTATTCACGTTCTGCAGATGCAGATGCCACTGGTTCTTCCATCTATTGTGCGATGGTTGAACTCACGACTCTCGGTCCGAACGGGCAACTGGACATACTGACCACGTTTGTTCGTATCTCTGAAAGTTCGTAAGTCGAACGTTCGTAAGTAGAGGAGTGCCTGTACTCAAAGGGAGGGATGTGTTTCGGACAGTCATTCTAACTCTACCACAAACCTAATGAGTGTACACCTGTATCAGAATCAGAATCTTTATTCATACCGGAGGAATCCGATGAGCTATGAAGTTCTTTTTCACAGATGTCACTTTTCACACCACCCCTCCCCCCCCCCAAAAAAAGGAGCGTAAATATTTAAAACGATTGAATAGCCATGATTTTCAACACAAGCAGTGAACGCCGCTTCTCGTCTGACGATCTCGGGGCGCGGCGCTTGCCGTAGCGAAAAAACTTTGTTCGGAAATTAGAGTCTCGCTCGATCGAAAAAAGCGTCCACACTTTGCCAACCGCGCGAACCGCATAAATTGCCTTCGTGAAGATCGAGGGATCAACAGCGGGCGGGCGGGCGGGCGGTCGGGCACGAGCGAGCGGCAAGCTCGCAAACTTCGAGGGTGTTGACGCGGCCCAGCGGGTGGTGCGTTCAGCCGCTCGTCGTTGGACCAGGCGAAGCCCACCGAGCTTTTGGCTTCGACGGGGGTGGACATCGAAAGCAGCGGCCAAGTGTAACTCTCGATCGCGCGATGTCGACTCGAAATGCGGTTGGGGGGAAAAAACCGGAGGACCCCCGAGAAAAATCCACGCGACCGCGGGGAGAGAGAGACACGCAAACACCAAATATACAGCAGCAGCAGGCATCGTCAGTGTCGGGATCGAACCCACGACCTCCTGTACACCAGGCGAGGTAGTTAACATCTCCTAGCCACCGTGGCTGCTGCTGCCTTTCCGCTCATCTGTAGTTCCTCCTGTCACCTCTCTCTCCGAGAGCAAGGAGCAAATACTGCGCTGTGGTGGCGCACAGGGTTGTTACAAAGTTACAATAGTTACAAGGCGACATTGTCATCAGCGTTGCGTAGCTCTCCCGTTTAACGCCAGCCAAACCCGCAAGGACAGTCTGGAACCGATGCCATTGTAAAGAGCTTCCGATTTTCAGTTAAATCCAGCAAAAAAAAATCTCGAATTCAGTCCGAGAACGTGAAACCATTTTGGACGATATATTTTGTTATTTTTGTTTGGGTTTCGCGACGCCAGTCACACTCAGACGCTTTCGCGAATTCACGTTGGCCCGGGTGGCCGGAGGTTGGGCGGGCTTTGTGGGTCGGAAGTCCGGCCACACGACACCGTGGCCGCAGCGCTCGGTTCACATTTGTAATTTTTCACTTGCTCAAATCCCTCTCGGGGATCAACTTATCCCGTCGTCGTTGTCATTGTCGTCGTCGACACCATCGTCGTAATCATTGTCATCGTCGTCATGGTCATCATCGTCGTCATCATCGCTATCGCCCACGATCAGTCCACCGTTGACTGATGGTCCGCAGTAATGCGCCGAGCGTAGACGCGGAACATCGACGCAGCGAACAGAGCAAGAGCTGAAAGTGCGCGCAAAAGAAGCGCGGGAGAGGAGGAGCGAAACATTTCCCGCACTCCCTCCGCGAGGCAGAAAGCTGAAACTCGCCGAGTCTAGGGAATGGTTTCCCGCGCGGGCAGGAGGCGAGTCGAAAAGCTCCCAGAGCCGCCGTAATTTTTCTTTAAGACCTCACCTCCGCACAACCCCCTCCCGGCCAGGATGGCGAGCAGCCCGATGCCGCCCGAGCCTAGCGGGGACTTCCCGGCGTGGCTGGAGGCGCAGGGCGTGAACGCGGAGGTGGCCCGGGCCATGGACTCGGAGCTGGGCATCCGGGACTACGGGGTCCTGCGCGCCTGCGTCGGGGACGGCCTCGTGCGGGCCGAGCTGCTGGCCGCGGCGCGCGACCGCCTGCCCTTCGGCTTCTACGCCGTGCTGCGGCAGGTGGTGAAGGCCCTGCGGGGCGCCGGGACGCCGCGCTGGGACGACGTCGACGCCGCCGCCTACTTTGGCGACGCGACGCTGGCCGCCCTCGTGGAAGTCCTCCTCGCGCTGCTCAGTGGCCTCAACCGTGAGCTGCTGCAGTGCATGCAGAGGCTGGGGGACATGGACGTGCTCAAGTTTGCCGCCGGGTCGCCGGCCAGCGCCAGCGTCGCCGGCAGCGGCGACGGCGACGACGCGGCGGCGGAAGAGATGGCGGACGAAATGGAGCGGCGTGGCAAAGGCGGTGAATGAGGCCTCGCGCTGACGCTGCTGTGTGTGTTTGTGTTCAAGTCTGTGTGTGTGTGTGTTTGTGTTCAAGTCTGTGTGTGTGTTTGTGTTCAAGTCTGTGTGTGTGTTTGTGTTTGTGTTCAAGTCTGTGTGTGTGTGTTTGTGTTCAAGTCTGTGTGTGTGTGTGTTCAAGTCTGTGTGTGTGTGTTTTTGTTCAAGTCTGTGTGTGTGTTTGTGTTCAAGTCTGTGTGTGTGTTTGTGTTCAAGTCTGTGTGTGTGTGTGTTTGTGTTCAAGTCTGTGTGTGTGTGTGTGTTTGTGTTCAAGTCTGTGTGTGTGTTTGTGTTCAAGTCTGTGTGTGTGTTTGTGTTCAAGTCTGTGTGTGTGTTTGTGTTCAAGTCTGTGTGTTTGTGTTCAAGTCTGTGTGTGTGTTTGTGTTCAAGTCTGTGTGTGTGTGTGTTTGTGTTCAAGTCTGTGTGTGTGTTTGTGTTCAAGTCTGTGTGTGTGTGTGTTTGTGTTCAAGTCTGTGTGTGTGTTTGTGTTCAAGTCTGTGTGTGTGTTTGTGTTCAAGTCTGTGTGTGTGTGTTTGTGTTCAAGTCTGTGTGTGTGTGTTTGTGTTCAAGTCTGTGTGTGTGTTTGTGTTCAAGTCTGTGTGTGTGTTTGTGTTCAAGTCTATGTGTGTGTTCAAGTCTGTGTGTGTGTGTCTGTGTTCAAGTCTGTGTGTGTTTGTGTTCAAGTCTGTGTGTGTGTTTGTGTTCAAGTCTGTGTGTGTGTTTGTGTTCAAGTCTGTGTGTGTGTTTGTGTTCAAGTCTGTGTGTTTGTGTTCAAGTCTGTGTGTTTGTGTTCAAGTCTGTGTGTGTGTGTTTGTGTTCAAGTCTATGTGTGTGTTTGCGTTCAAGTCTGTGTCTGTTCAAGTCTGTGTGTGTGTGTTTGTGTTCAAGTCTGTGTGTGTTTGTGTTCAAGTCTGTGTGTGTGTGTTTGTGTTCAAGTCTGTGTGTGTTTGTGTTCAAGTCTGTGTGTGTTTGTGTTCAAGTCTGTGTGTGTGTGTTTGTGTTCAAGTCTGTGTGTTTGTGTTCAAGTCTGTGTGTTTGTGTTCAAGTCTGTGTGTGTTTGTTTGTGTCGTGGGGGGCGTTGACGTGTCGTGGGGGGGTGTTGACGCGTCGTTGGGGGGTGTTGACGCTTCGTTGGGGGGTGTTTTGGTGTCTCGTTAGGTGAGGCGCGAGAGGCGCCGCCGCCACCGCCTTCTCCTCCGCGCGTGGACAAGTTCAGCAGCTCGCCTCTCGGAGTCCACACGATAAAAACGGAGGCCTGCCCAGGTAGCCCACGCACCACCCCGCACCTCCCCTTGGCCACGGAAGGCTACGTACGGTGCGAAAGAAGTTCTGTGTACGTGCATGTACGTACGCCGAGACCCCCACAGCCACCCAGACTCGTAGACCCACAGAGAGACCCATAGAGAAACCCATAGAGACACCCATAGAGACCCACAGCGACCCACAGAGATGACATCCATGGAACCATAGAGACCCATACAGACCTACAGAAACCTATAGAGACCCACAGAGATGACACCCATGGCCACATAGAGACCCACAGAGACCCACAAAGACCTATAGAGACCCACAGAGATGACACCCATAGACCCCTGCAGAGATTCACAGAGACCCATAGAGACCTACAGAGATCCACAGAGATGACACCCATAGACCCATAGAGAACTACAGAGACACACAGATTAGCATGGTTGGCTACGTATGGTGCGAAAGAAGCTCAACATACGAGCGTACATATCAGAGCCAGGCTGACTCGGGTTCCATCCGGTGCTCAGTGGACTGCCGGCGGCCTCACAAACAAACACGAACAAAATAATAAAGGGGGCGTGGGAACGTGGTAGTGAGGTGTGGGAAGCTATAAGCCCCAAGCTACTATGGGTTCGCTTTCCCATCAACCAGAGGTGAGGAGTGGTGGTGGTGGTGGTGGTTACTTATTACCCCACCGAAGATGAACATCAGTGGAGGGATGGAGGCAAGGCCGATGAGTCAGATGACCTGTCACAGGTGCTGGCTAAAGTGGCACCTCGGGATAGAGTCATCATGTTGGGTGACTTCAATGCTCGAGTTGGTCATGATGCTGGCACCTGGTCTGGAGTGATTGGAGGGCATGGGCCAGATCAGCTCAATAACAACGGTAGGAGGCTGCTAGATATTTGTGCAGCCCATGGGCTTGCAATTACCAACACGCTGTTCCAGCATCGGCGCATCCACACAACATCATGGATGCATGCTGGGTCCAACCAAGAACATCTGCTGGACTACATAGTGACGGACCAGCGGATGCGAGCCCATGTCCTTGACATCAGGACCTACCGTGGAGCTGATCTGCCCTCTGACCATCTGTAAGATGCGCCTGCCATTCTTCCACTCCGGTGGTGGGTGTACACCCAGGACCCCATTCCAACCTAAAGTGGCCTGGTCTCAGTTATCTGATGAAAGTTGCAAGCGAGAATTTCATCATCGCTTGCGGCTGGGATTGGCATCGTCCCCCACTCCTCCTGATGTCGAGGGTAAATGGGCGAGGTTTAGGACTGTGACTCATGCAGCTGCAATGGCTGCTTTGGGTACGCGGTCCAGACCTCCCCAGAGACCCTGGCTGACAGAGGAGGTGTTCAGGATGGTTGAGAAAAAGCAACAGGCCCACTGTCATCGGCTACAGAATCCCACGTCAGAGAATGAGGAGGCATATCGCAGCCTTCGCTCGGAGGTTCGGAGAGACGTGAGGCGCTGCAAGGATGGGTGGTGGTCGCGGGTTGCTGAGGAGATGGAGTCTGCTTCAGTGGCCCACGATCACAAATCTCTATTTAACTCCATCAAAAAAGTAACCTGCAGCGCCACACCTATTACCATCATTAGGGGAAAAAACGGTGATCCAATCTCCGACCCCCAGGAACAGGTTTGCAGATTTGCTGAGCATTTCTGTGAGGTCCTGGGGGAGGGAAAATTCCTCAGCCAGGAAAACATCGTGGCACAAAGTGAGGATGACCCTGCTGAGGCTGCGGTGCCTCAAATATTGGAAAAAGTCACCCCCTGTGAGTGGCTGGCTGAAGTACCATCTGTTGAGGAAGTACTGAAGGTGATCTGGAGTCTGAGACCAGGAAAGGCAGCGGGCAGAGATGATCTCCCAAGCGAAATGCTGAGGGAGGGTGGCGTTTGTGCACAGACTGCCCTATATGACATCATAACAACAGTCTGGACCACTGGACGGGTTCCGCAGGATTGGAAGGATGCCCTGGTGGTCCCCCTCTTTAAGAAGGGCGACCGCACAGACTGTAACAACTACAGGGGCATCTCACTCCTCAGTGTGCCGGGAAAGGTCCTGGCAAGGATTATTCAACATTGCCTCGCCAGGCACGCTGAGGAGAGTCTTGCGGAGCCCCAATGCGGTTTCAGGAAAGGGCGGTCCTGCACAGATGCCATATTTTCTATCCGTCTGCTACAGCAGAGGTGTAGGGAATTCCAACAAGACCTACATCTTTGCTTTATTGACCTGGTCAAGGCCTATGATGCCATCAGTAGGCCTGGGCTCTGGGTTGTTCTTCGTGCTTTTGGAGCCCCTGACCCTCTGCTAACGATCATTAAGGACCTTCATGATGGTGAGCGGGCCTGGGTAAAACTATGTGGTCGGGAGTCAGAGCCATTCCCTGTACACCTTGGGGTGCGGCAGGGATGTCCTCTGGCTCCCACATTATTTAACATCTATTTTGACCACGTAGTTCGTGAAGCCTTCAATAGCTGTACCGGGGGAATCTCCATTTGGTACAGATATAATGGGAGGCTGATCGATGCCCGGGTGCGGTGAAGGGATGGCTCCCTGTTGCTCAACCACGCTATGTATGCTGATGATTTGGTAATAGCTGCTGATTCAGAGGAGGAGTTGGAGAGGCTGCTGCTGAGACTGGAGCGTGCCACTAAGAGATGGGGCCTTACCATCAGCCCCACCAAAACTAAGCACCTGCCTGGATATTTTGTACCATCGGTCACTCCACCCCTACAACTCCAAATCGGTGATGGGGCAGTTGTGGAGAGAGTGGAGAGTTTCCCATACCTGGACAGTGTGCTTATGACCGGCTCCAGTTTAACAGCAGAGGTCTCACTCCGAATCAGTCGAGCGGCAATATCTTTTCATCGGTTGCGTAATGCTGTGTGGAAGCTACCTGGTCTGTCGCTCTGCACTAAGCTTCAGGTCTTCTCGGCCACGGTCATTCCCTCCCTTCTCTACGCTTGCGAAACGTGGACCCCCTTAATGGAGCATCTTCGCCGGTTGGAAACATTTAGGCTGGCCTGCCTACGATCCATCCTGGGTTTAACCAGGCTGGATTGTGTGAGGAGCTCAAAAATCCTTGAAAGATCTGGGCAAGGTCCCATCGGTGAGCTCCTCTGGCAGGCAAGGCTGCGTTGGCTGGGTCATGTAGCCCGCATGCCCAGCCACCGCATGCCGAAACAGCTTTTGTTTGGCCGGATCGAGGGGGCTAAATGGGCGCGGCACGGGCTAGAGAAGAGATGGAGTGATGTGGTACAGGAGGACGTGGAGCTGAGTGGACTTGCCGATGACTGGTACCAGCGGTGTGAAGATCGGCCTCTGTGGAGGAAGCTCGTGAAGGACGCTATTGGGTAGTTGGAGGCAGTCGCCCTCCAACAACAACAGAGGGCGGAGGAGCGACGCTCACAACAACGAGCGGAGCACCGGGTGGCTAAAGCACAACAGGTTGGCACAGTAGGGGGCACAGGTGGTGCACCAGCCAGTCATCTCAGTCAGTCGACCCGTGACACCTGGGTCTGCCCCGTGACCTCCTGCCCGCGGGCGTTCGACACTTCACGTGGCCTCAAGGTACACATGGCCTGGCACAAGCGTCGTGGTGACGTCACCGCCACTTAGTGGCGAATGGTGGTTGTTGTTGTTGTATGTATCTCTGTGTGTATGTATCTCTGTGTGTGTGTATATCTGTGTGTGTGTGAGCAGAAGAAGACTCCGGGTTGACGCTCGGGACCCCGAGTGGCAGCGGGCGCACCCAGTGGGAGGGGCTAGGACCAGAGGACTCGGCGTCTATCCCCGGTACACAGCTTCTCAATTCTTCTCCTTCCTCCTTATCTCTCCATTATTTATCATTCTTTATTCCTTCATCTTTCTCGTTTCTCCTTCATGCCTCCTTCTTTCTTCGTCTTCTTCTTCTCCGTCTTCCTTCTCTCTCCTTATTTCTCCTCCTACTTTCTCCTTCCTTCTTATGCCTTCCTGCTCCTTCCTTATTTTCCTTTTTAGATTTGTTACCCACTCAGTTGTGGATCTCGTCCAATTCCTCCTTCAAAGGAGTGAAGGACGGTGACAGCGGTCGACGGTTTGGCCACACGCTCCGCAGGCCGCCGAACCTTCGATGCGCCGTTTGTGGTCGAGTCGGGTTTTCCGCATCGGCCGCGGCCCGGTCCTCATTTGGTGTGGAGGTGACCAAGGGAGGGGGAGAGATGAGGGGCAGAGGCGGGTGAATGGGAGCTGATATTGTAGAGGGAAGAGGAAGGAGATGGAGGGGACGGGAGATGGAAGGGAGAGTTGACGGCAGGAGGGAGGAGATGGGATGAGGTGTATCTAACGAGGTCGCCGAGCGGAGATGAACGCCACCCGGGGTGCCCGTCGCGTGACTGTGCCATCGCCCGCCGGGGTCGTGTCGCCCAGGGAAATCCCCGTCGGGTGACTTCCCGCCGGGCTTCGTCGTCGACGGCGCCGGCTCGTTGCAGCCGGGAGGGGCCGAGCCGGTGAGCGCCACCGCCGAGCCGGCGCCCTTCCCGTCGTGGCTTCGGCAGGAGACGGCCGACGAAACGGCGAGCAGAGAATCTTCCCGCCTCGCCGACGACGACGCCGCCGGACGCGGCGTCGTCGGCGTCGTCGTCGGCGGCGGCGGCCGCGCGGCGCCGTGCCCGCGCGACCGGGAGTTTCGTCCCGGCCCGGCGCCGAGCCTGTCGATCGGCGAGAGCGGGCTGTACGAGCCGAGGCCGCGCGGGCAGCGGGCGGGGGCCGGCTGCGGCGGCGAGGCCGACGCGTCTCGGCAGGCGGCTGGCGGCGTCGGGCGCGACAACGACAAGCCGTACCGGTGCAAGGTGTGCGGGTGCGGCTTCGCGCAGTACTCGACGCTCAAGCGCCACCTGCACAAGCACAACGGCGAGCGGCCCTACTGCTGCTCGGCTTGCGGCCGCGGATTCCCCGAGCCGTCGGAGCTGCGCGCCCACGAGGACACGCACCGGCGCGACAAGCCCCACCGTTGCCGAGTCTGCGGTCAGGCGTTCGCCCGCAGCTGCCACCTGACGCGTCACCAGCGCACGCACACGGGCGAGAAGCCGTACCGCTGCGGGGCCTGCGGCCACGCCTTTACGCAGTCGTGCGACCTCAAGACGCACGAGCGCACGCACACGGGCGAGAAGCCGTACCGTTGCGGGGCGTGCGGCCGCGGCTTCGCCCAGGGGGCCCACCTCAAGCGCCACCAGCGGACGCACTCGAGCCGCAAGCCGTACCGTTGCAGGCCCTGCGGGCAAATCTTCCTGGACTTCGGCAGCTTCAACGCTCACCAGCTCACGCAC